CGAACTCACAGAGATCCTCCTGCCTCTGCCTCCCGAGTGCTGGGATTAAAGGCGTGCGCCAACAACGCCCGGCTTTACCTCTTTGTTTTTCATCTTCATCACTTCCCTCTTTCAGAACAGCCACCTTACACTATCCCAATTTCTAATTAGCAAGTAGATTAGTTTGCCTGGTATTGAACTTCATGTAACTAGGCTCTGTTCATGGTCTTCTGTATCACAAAACCAAAAGGGCAGATGTGTATAGTTTAAGTCCACTTATTTAATGTCTAAACCAGATAGAGCTAGTGATGATCACAGTGGCATCTGTACTTCTACCCCCAAGCAGCTGTTTAGTCAATCTTTAGCGGCTGGAGAAATGGCTCAGCAGTGTTAAGAGCTGTTGTTTCCCTTCCAGAGGACCTGGACTGTTTACTGTACCCAGGTCCCATTGCTCACAATTGCCTTCGTCTCTATGTCAGGAGTACTTGATGTCCTTTCTTGTCCTCCTTGAGTACCTGCACACATGTACCACCACCCCACCAATGTAAATAAATACATAAGAAAGGAACAAATAGACATTTCTAAAGTGTTAGCATGATACAGCTGAAACTTTATCTTTTTGTTTCTGGCTCATTTTAGGAGTATCTTGATAGTGGCTGGAATTTGAACAATATGCCAGTGATGGAGCAATCTGTCCTTGCTCATATTACTGCTGATATATGTGGCATGAAACTCCCTTGGTTGTATGTGGGCATGTGCTTTTCTTCCTTCTGTTGGCATATTGAAGACCACTGGAGCTACTCAATCAACTACCTACACTGGTAAGAAATTCTATAGGAAGTCAATGAGCAGTATATAAGCTGGGTAGGAAAATTAGCCTTTCAGATATGCATTGCCTATGCCTGAAGGTAATGGGTTCTTTTTGCTTTAGATTTTACTAGATTAGGTTTCCTATTGAATTAGGACAGTTTAGAAAACTTTTACAAAGTTCTCTGAAATCATACACTAGTTTGGAAGGATATGATGTTTCTAGGAGTAGTATAGTTTTTATCTGTAGTAAAGTGTTTACTAACAAGTTAAAAAGCCCCCTGTATCTTTTTCCCATACAAGAAATCTCACTCGGTAGTCATAGTAACCCATATTCCTTTGGAGAGGAGAAGGTTCTTGAGTCTATCCGTTTCCTTTTGATGTGCTGAATTCTGACATCACAACATGTAGACCTCTCATCTGTGCAGGCATTTGAACTTTTACTATTTAAACTTTTAACCCAAAGCCGTTTTCCACCTATATCTGTTTCCACCTCTCCTGTTTCTTCTTTGAAGCACAAAAATATTTTAAAACCCATAATTCACTCTAAACCTACAGAGGAATTTGAGGAGTACCACAAGAATGAGCAAGTTGGCATATGGATATGCAACATGGCTCTGCTTCCCTAGACAATTGCTCCAGCTGTAACAGGAAGATGATGTTTATCATACCTCACAGGAATGGCACAGATTAATTGGCTGACAATTGAAAGTGCTTTGAAGAATAAGCACTCTTTAGAAATGCTAATTGCCCTATTTGTATTTGATGTAAACCTTTTCCAGCAGAATGGGCAAGGGAGAAGGAAGCTGGAAGGTTGCCACCCCTTCTCAGTTGATGGAGGAAGTTGTGGTAACTGTGTGCTCTCTAGCAAATATGATTCTTTATATTCTTAGAAACTCTTATTTTGTCTGCATTTTGTATAGTGGAATCTGGGATGATGATGACCTTAGATGCAAAGTCTAATGTTTTTTGTACTTGAAGAGAAAATGCACTACATATGGTTCCATTCACATTTGTAATGTTACTTTCTTAATTGAACTAGGTCAGAAAAATGTGAACAGCTTAACTTTTTGTGTTGGTTTAACCAATTGATCAACTTTTATAATCTTGTTTGTAGGGGTGAGCCAAAAACTTGGTATGGAGTTCCAGGATATGCTGCTGAGCAGCTAGAAAATGTAATGAAGAAACTAGCTCCAGAGCTCTTTGTGTCCCAGCCAGATCTGCTCCACCAGCTTGTGACCATCATGAACCCCAATACTCTGATGACTCATGATGTGCCTGTATGTTCTGAGTTACCCTCCTGCTACTCAGCTTATTCACTACTTCTCTATTGGTCTATTACTCTGTTTTCCTTTTCTTTTTAAAAAGTTATTTGGTATTTTCATAATATAATTTGATAATAGAAGCAGCTGTTTGGTGCTGCACAGTGCTAACCCAATGTACTAGATGCTTAGACACCATAAAAACTTGATTTGTTAGCCGGGCATTGGTGCCGAACGCCTTTAATCCCAGCACGTGGGAGGCAGAGGCAGGCTGATCTCTGAGTTCGAGGCCAGCCTGGTCTCCAGAGTGAGTGCCAGAGTAGGCTCCAAAGCTACACAGAGAAGCCCTGTCTCGAAAAACCAAAAAGAAAAACAAAAACAAAAAACCTAATTTGTTGTGGTTAATACCTGTATTGCTGAACAGACTTGCTTTGCAATTCACTATAGTTGGAGGTTGTATAATCATTATTACCACTAATGATTTCTGTACTATAAGTTTTGTTTATAACTTCAGTCAACAATTATATCAAAACTCTGGTTTTAAAATCTTTTAAAAATATTGATAAATTTTATGTGTTTGTATGTGTACCTGAGTGTTTTTATGTGCACCATCTACCTGAGTAGTTTGTGGAGGTCAGGAGTGATACTGGATCACCTGGAACTAGTTACAGGTGTTTGTGACCTGTCATGTGGGCGTTGGGAACTGAACCCAGTCTTTTGCAGGAGCAGTAAGTGCTCTTAACTGTTCAGCTATTTTTCCAGCTCTTGATGTCTTGTTCCTATCTAAAAGAATTTGGGTAGCGATATTGTTCAGTGGAGTGCTTGTCTAATAAGCACAGACCCTGGATTTTATTCCAATCACTCCATAAAGAATAATGAACAATGAATCTTATTGAATCTCATGATCTTAATTTTAAATGATTAACCAAAATGGCATAGTTGGTAGGACTGACTATTTTGATGGTGGTGCTGGGAATTGAACCCAGAGATTTGGAAATACTAGGTGTACCCTCTGTCCTGGTACTACTTCCCAGCCAGAATTGTTTGTTTTGCATTGCTAATCCCTCCTCCTGTTAAGCATCTGTGGATGTATGTTTGTATGTCTGCATTTGGGTGTTGTTCCTCAGGGGCCATCAGATAGGATTTGTTAAGTTTGTTAAGTATGTTCATTAGAAAGTAATGACTTCATGTGTAAAATACTCATCATGTTCATTGTTAGTATTTTCCTTTTGAATTTTTCCCAATTTGTCAAAATTAGAATGTAATACATGGGTTGGATTTAGGGTTTAAGGAGATAAGTGGATTAATTCTTTCTTCCTGGTCTGGAATCTACTATGTAGTCCAGACTGGCCTCCATGTCACAGGCATCTTCACTAAACATTCCTGATTGTATTTGTGAAGACAGATGTGTCTTGTCTCTTGTTTAGTATGAGCACCATATTTGTTCAGAGACTAAGTTCTATTACTGTGGTAGAATCTACCACAGTCATTTTTTTTTTTCTCCTTAGTTTAATTGATAGAAGGTATGTATGTATAAATTTGTGTCCAGTCCTCTCCTGTTTGCCTGGTGAATCATCTAATAGTTGATGGCCAACTTGTCTTTGAGAATGTTACTGTCAAACCTTAAAGTCTGTCATCCCTGTCTCTGTAGGTTTATCGAACAAATCAATGTGCTGGGGAGTTTGTGATCACCTTTCCAAGAGCCTATCACAGTGGTTTCAACCAAGGTTTTAATTTTGCTGAGGCTGTTAACTTCTGCACTGTTGATTGGGTATGTATTACAATTTGAGCTTTTTCAAGCCTATGATTTTCCCATGGAAATAGCATATAGTGTTTTAGAAACTGTCATGTAAACTTGATGCTCATCTGGTTACTATGTAAATTGTTTCCCATCTACAATGACCTAAGGTACTTATAACACATTGTATGACAATTCAGACGTGTACCACACTGCTTATTTAATTGACCCCTCTCTCTTTTTAAAATTTATTATTTTTTGTGTGTGTGTGTGTGTGTGTGTGTGTGTGAGAGAGAGAGAGAGAGAGAGAGAGAGAGAGAGAGAGAGAGTTTGTGCACATACATATACATGTGCTAGGCATATACAGGCATGTGCTAGGAACAGTAGAGGCCAAAGAAGACATTATATTTACATGGGTGCTGGGAACTGAACTCTGGACCTCTGTAAAAATCAGTACTTTCTCTTTCAGCCCCAAGACACTTTTTTTGGTACAAGTTTTAAATAACTTTTTAGGGATAAAGAAGCGGTTTTGTGTTTTTTCCAGTGTTGGCTCTGGACTCTTTGTTGTTGCAAATCATCCTTCTGTCTCAGTAGGTCTTGGGGAACCTTCCTTGTAAAAGACTCTTCCTGAAGAGCAGAGTCTGATGACTGTTAACAAGGGAAGCTTATTAAAGCTTGCAAACTAGTAACAAACATTCCAGTTGGAAAACTTACTAGTATTGGCATAATTATCCAGAATTCAACAGTTGAATGACATGTTTGTTTCAGTTCATTGCAGAGTTGAAGATTTAAGTTAGAGCTGTCAAGGTTATATGTGATATAAAATGTTGTGAATTGTAGCTTTGTTTGTTTTGAGACGTGTAGTTGAGGATGGCCTATAATTACAGACCTTTTTGCTTCTATACCACAAGAGCTGGGATGTAGGCAATGTGCCACCATCTATTGCTTTTCTTGAAAAAGCACTATTTCCATTTTAATAGATTTTGAGTATTAATTATCCCCTGAAGCAAATTAAGCCTAGTGGTTCAGCATTGTTGTGTGTGAGAAAATGTACATGTATTTCCAGTTAGACTCCTCATTACTCATATTAATTCATTGTCAATACATTTTTCCCTTAACTGCTGGTTTCCCTTAACTGGTAAGTTTTTGACTTACCCAATGTGCCAGATCTTCAGAATGTGCCAGATCTTACCAAATGTGCCAGATCTTCAGAGCACAAAGATAAATAGGCTCAGGGCTCTTGAGTCTGGTTTAGGGTTGATGAGCAATAGTTGTTTTGATTTGGTAATATGATATAGTAAGTCAAAAGTGTTTGGAAATTTAAAAAAAAGGTAACTGTGTCATGTTTGTTCTGCCTGTGAAACAGGTGCCATTGGGCCGCCAGTGTGTGGAGCACTATCGCTCGCTGCACCGTTATTGTGTCTTTTCCCATGATGAGATGATATGCAAAATGGCTTCCAAGGCTGGTGTGTTGGATGTTGTAGTTGCTTCAACTGTTCAGAAAGACATGGCCATTATGATTGAGGATGAAAAAGCTTTAAGGGAAACTGTTCGTAAATTGGTAAGGTTTCTAGACATCCAGTTCCATGTCACTGATGTACTAACGTTCTTATACTTTACTATGGTTTTAAGAAGCTTTCTTTTCCTTGCTAGTTTCTACAAAAGCTATTCCAATTGTCATGTAGTAATACTTTGTTTTCATTTATTTATTTTTATTATTACTGGTTTTTCAAGACAGGGTTTCTCTGTGGCTTTGGAGCCTGTTCTGGCACTCACTGTAGACCAGGCTGGTCTCCAGCTCACAGAGATCTGCCTCTCGAGTGCTGGGACTAAAGGTGTGCGCCATCAAACGCCCAGCTTTGTTTTTATTTTTTTAAAGATGAACTTGTGTGTGTATATTTTGTTCTATGTGAGTATATGCACATATATATGTGGGGATTAGTGAACTTGTGTACCTTAGAGGCCAGAAGTGGGCATTAAGTGTTTGCAGGATGTCCTGCTTTTGATATACAGTTCTGGGATTGGAACTCCAATTCTTTTTCTTTTTCTTTTTTTTTTTTTTTTTTAAGATTTTATTTATTATGTATACAATATTCTGCTTCCAGTATATCTGCACACCAGCAGAGGGCACCAGATCTCATAACAGATGGTTGGGAGCCACCATGTGGATGCTGGGAATTGAACTCAGGAACTCTGGAAGAGCAGTCAGTGCTCTTAACCTCTGCGCCATCTCTCCAGCCCTGGAACTCTAATTCTTATTACTGTGCAACTCATGTCTTTAACTGGCTAAGCAGTTAAAGACACGAGAATTATTTTTATCTTTTTGTTCATTTTCATTTTCCTCTGTGGTTTTGATTTAGTAGTTTGGTTTTTTTTTTTAATGGATTCTTTTGGATCAACCACATTTTTTTTTTTATGCCATTCTACTCATATGCCAATATGAGTAGAATACTGGAATATTGACCATTCAGAGCCCATTATGGACCACCAGCAGGCTGTCCATTGTCCCCTGTTATTTTTAGTTGGAGAAAGCAATGCCTAGTGGATTTAAGTGACTTGAGGAGGTCTATATCAGTAATGGTAGCTCTAGTGATTACCTGAAGAAAAGCTGCCTAAGGCTAAAATTCCAGCCTGCTGTGGAATAGGTTCCACCTCTAGCTGAAGAGCTGTTAAGCAGTTAATAGCTGCTGGAGGAAGGATAGTGATTTTTTTTTTTTTAGGGGATGGACCAGTGGGAGGTTGTCTACTCCAGTGAATGGCCCCATACTTATTTACATATTGGCAGCACTTATTGGGCTTACTGAGTTACTAAGCACAAGCAAACAAAAAATGGAGATAAAACCAGGAAATGGGTTTTTGGGAGGACATTGTATTAGGGGTAGATGTAATTAAAATACTTGGATATAACATTCTGAAAATAAAAATATTACATAAATAATGGTAGCTAATTTCTGCACCTTGGAGAACTATTTTTTTCCTAAGATGTGTAATTTACAAATTAAAACTGTATAAACTACCTGATTTCCATCCTCAACTAAAATTCAGAGTTGGTCTTTGGTCTTCTTTAATCTCAACTCTCTCCAGACCAAGGAAGTCCCTTTCATTGATTATGATTAAGATGACAAATGTATTCATTAGCATTTTATGCTTTGTCTTGTCAGAAATGGTTGTAATATTAAAGTAAAACAAAGGAATCTAATGACTCATAGGTTGAGTAACCAGAATTGTCATTCTTAAAGTTGAGTTTGGTTGCAGATGAGAAAAGAGTAGAAGTTTGGCTTCAAGTGACACAAGGGCCTTCTAGAGGTCATCTGGGATGAGATACAATTAAGTAAGTTTTCCACTTAGGAAGTATTCAGGGCTTTACAATGTTTTCTTAATGAGGTTATTACCTCCTGAATTACACATTTTCTAACCTACTCAGATAATGATATCTTCAGGTAGCTTTCTGTATAAATGGTTAAGAGACCGACCAGTCAATAATTCCTACGTAGCCATTTTGCTTTGTATTATTATTTTTTTAAAACATTTATTATTATTAAAGTGTGCATGAGGGGGTGGTCAGAAGAAGATATCAGATCATCAGATCTGCTGCAGCCACCTGGCATTGGTGCTGAGCACTCCAGTCTTCTGCGAGAACAATGTGTGCTCTCAATCACACCAGCTCCTTTTTTTTTTTTTTTTTTTTTGAGGAAGATGCTAGGGCTGAAATCTAACTTTGTGCATTGTGGGCAAGTGCTCTATGAGTCGTGTCCCCCTCTGCTTTTTAATTTTTTTTCTGTCTTAGGGTATCTATCTTTTCTTCTCTTTGTTCAAACTTTAGGGTAAGATGGGCTGCTAACCTCAGTAGTATTAATTCCACAATGATTTTGTTTATGTTCAGATCTAAATGGTTTAGACATGGGGCCTTATCTGACCCAAAGAGGGATTAGAGCTGGATAAGTGGGTTATTAACATGCTAGGATATTGTTATTTTGTAGCCCATATAGTTTTAAATCGTGCTTATGTATTTTACTGAGGCTTTAAAAATTTCTGTGCATACTTGTCTTGGTCTTTTAGATTGTACTATCCTTTCAAAGCCTCTAATACAGATTTAATTTTAGGGAGTAATTGATTCGGAAAGAATGGATTTTGAGCTGTTGCCAGATGATGAGCGGCAGTGTATAAAATGCAAAACAACATGCTTCATGTCTGCCATCTCCTGCTCTTGTAAACCTGGCCTGCTTGTTTGCTTACATCATGTAAAAGAATTGTGTTCCTGTCCCCCTCATAAGTATAACCTGCGGTAAGTATGAAGGATGAAGTCCCCCCCCCTCACACTTTGGGAAAGCATTGAATCATTTATTTCTCTCTTTGTGTGTACATTTGCATATGTGTATATTTATGATGTGTGGGTGAATGTATGTGCCACAGTGTGCTTGTGGAGTCAGAGCAGCTTCAGGTGTTGTCTCTGGCCTCCCGTCTCGTGTAAGTTAAGTTTTCTCTGTTGTTCTTGACTGTGTATGCCAACCTGGATGACTCATTACCTTCCTGGGAGTCTCCTGTCTCCATTTCATGTCTTTGTATCAGTACTGGGGTGGCAGATTCATGCATGTTACAGCACCCAACTTTACATGATCTATTACAATGAAGAGAGATCATGACTGGCAGTTCTTATAAAAAAAAGAAAGCGTTTAGTCTGGGCTTGCTTACAGTTTCAGAGGTTTAGCCCATTATCTTCACAGTAGGGAACAAGGTAGCTTCAGTGAGACATGGTAGTTGCATCAGGAACCAAAGACTGGAGGAAGAGAGTGACACGGGGCTTGACTTGAGAATTTGACGCCCAAAACCCAGCCCAGTAACACACTCCTTCCAACAAGGCCACAACTCCTAATACCTGTCAAGTATCACTACTCCCTAATGACCAAGCATTCAAATATATGAGCCTATGGGGGCCATTCCTAGCCATACTACCACACAAGGGTTTTGGGGATTGGAAAGTGCTTTACTAAAGACCTCAATGACATCTCTATTGTAGGTCTTTCTTCACAGTCACCTGTCTCAAAGCCATTTGTGTTCTGTGTCCAGGTATCGATACACTCTGGATGATCTCTATCCAATGATGAATGCGTTGAAGCTTCGAGCAGAGTCTTACAATGAATGGTCCTTAAATGTGAATGAAGCTTTGGAAGCAAAGATCAACAAGAAGAAAAGTACGTAATGCAGAGAGTGTGATTTGTAATCAGCAAAGTGGAGTTGGATTTTTGTTGCTCCAACTTTATCAACAAAACAGATGACCGAAAACAGTCTGGTTTCACCCTCACCTCCTATAACTGTTTTTTTTTTTTTTCCTCTTTTAGTATTTTCAAGACAGGATTTCTCTTTGTAACCATGGAAGTCCTGGAGCTCACTTTATAGACCAGGCTGGCCTGGAACTTAACAGAGTGCAGGGATTAAAGGCGTGTGCCACCACTGCTCGGCTAGAGATTTTTTTCCTTGAAAGAACCATCTCCAGTGGAGGGAAAATATACATGCCATACATAGCTGGTGATCTTGAATTTGAACCCTGGAACTCATGAGAATGTGGAAGTAGTGTTGGTTCAGAGGTTAAGAGTATTGGCTGCTCTTCCAGAGGATCTGGGTTCAATTCTAATTATCCATGTTGGCTAACAACTATCTAAACTCCAGTCCCAGGGGTTACAATACCCCCTTCTAAATATATGTGGTATATAGATATACATGTAGGCAGAACACCCATATTCATAAAAATAATAGATCTAGCTGGATGTGGTGGTTCACATCCAGCAGTGGGAAGGCAGAGGCAGGTAAATCTGAGTTCAAGGCTAGCCTGGTCTACAAAACAAGTTCCAGGATAAGGCTGTTCATTGAGAAACCCTGTCTCAAACAAACAAAACAGCTAAAGAAAATAAATAAATCTTAAAATATGACACCTTTTTAGTATTTTTATTTTAAAAAAGATTCTTTGAGGGGCTGGAGAGATGGCTCAGAGGTTAAGAGCACCGACTGCTCTTCCAGAGGTCCTGAGTTCAATTTCCAGCAACCACATGGTGGCTCACAACCATCCATTATGAGATCTTGTGCCCTCTTCTGGTGTGCAGATATACATGGAAGCAGAATGTCGTATGCATAATAAATAAAATCTTTAAAAAAAAAAAAGATTCTTTGAAAGGCAGTATATTAATTAGATGTCTGTGAATACTTCTAATCAAAGTTTAGTATCCCTGCCATTTATCATTACCTTTTCCTTTTTTTGGTTTTTTGAGACAGGGTTTGGTGCCTATCCTGGCACTTGGTCTGGAGACCAGGCTGGCCTCAAACTCAGAGATCCGCCTTCCTCTGCCTCCTGAGTGCTGGGATTAAAGGCATGCGCCACCAACGCCCGGCACCTTTTCCTTTTTTAATAAAAGATTTTATTTTATATGGTGCCTGCATGAGCTCAGGTAACCACTGTAGTCAGAAGAGGGTACTGGATCCTCTGGAGATGGAGTTAAGCACAGTTGTGAGCTGCTGTGTGGGTGCTGGGAATTGAACCTGGGTCTTCTGCAAGAACCAGGCCCCCCCCCCCCCAAGATTTCTCAGTGTAGCCCTGGCTGTCCTGGAACTCAGTCTGCCTCCTAAGCGCTGGGACTAAAATAAAAGTTAGAGCCAGGGAGCCTGGCAAGAATCAGTGCTCTTAATATTACTCCATCCCCTGTCATTACTTTCAGTCACTACTTCTAACATCTCTTTCAAACCTTTCTGTAGTTAAGCAGGTAACTTCCTCCCTTTTCAGTTAGGTGAACGGAGGAGTAGCACCAGTTTCTTGTCAGTTAGAAAATGTAATAAAGGGCTACAAAATGGATTAAGCTACAGTAACATCTATATTGTTTTTCTTTCACAAATCTGTTGATTTTCACTTTAAAAAAATCTTTAAACCCATTAGATCCTAACACTTCTAGCATGAAGACTAACTTTAAGCACTTGTTCAGCTACTTCCCGTTCCCCCCATCAGATAAATACTGTCTAAACATAATAACTATAATGTTGCATTTGTGGAAGGATTTTCCCTCTCAGTTTGTTTTGTAACTAATTATAAACTTGATAATCACAGTGGTATGATGTGTTCTTTGTTTTAGGTCTTGTCAGCTTTAAAGCTTTAATTGAAGAATCAGAAATGAAGAAATTCCCAGACAATGATCTTCTGCGTCACCTCCGCTTAGTCACACAGGATGCAGAAAAGTGTGCCTCTGTTGCCCAACAATTGCTTAATGGCAAAAGGCAGACAAGGTATATATTTCTGACTATTTGAGATGGTAATCTGTGGCACCTCAACTTAGAAACCTGTGACAATTTTTCCTTTCCATCCTAGATTTGTGTGATACTGGAACCTATGAAAAACATGTGTTCTCATGGAGCTTTCCTTGGCCCTTGTTTTATAGGTATCGATCTGGCGGAGGCAAGTCTCAGAATCAGTTGACGGTGAATGAACTCCGACAGTTTGTGACTCAATTGTATGCTCTTCCATGTGTCCTTAGTCAAACACCATTGCTAAAGGTAATCATATAAAGATGTATTGGTGGACATGGGGGTAAATCCCATAATGTGTATACTTGGTTGGCATTATTAAGTAACCCTCTTCAGTGGTTAATTTGTATGCATGCGTGCATGAGTATATCTGTAGATAGAGGCCAAAAGAGAACATCAGATCTGTTAAATCTGGAGTTAACAGTGGTTATGAGCCACCTGGCATGGGTGCTGGGAACTACGAGTCTGTTCTCCTTGAGTGATGCATTAATGTTTGTGGGTACATAGGAGATTATAACAGAGGGAAGATAAAGTTGGAGATTTTCACTATGAAAGTGACCACTGTGTCTGGCATGGTGACACACATTTTTAATCCCAGTTATTAGAACCTGAGGAAGGAGAACTGTCATAAATACGAAGCCAGCCTAGGTTCCATAGTAATTCAAAGGGGTTGGAGAGATAGTTCATTGGTTATGAGCTATTGCTGTGCAACCATGAGGACCAGAGATTGGATCCCAGCCTTCATGTAATCTATTAGGCATCCTTCACGTGCCTCTTAACCCCAGTTTCAAGAGGGCCCAGAAACAGGATTGTTGCTAAGACTTGCTGGCTTCCTGATTGAAAAAATGTGAGCCCTGGTTCAGGGAGAGAGCCTACCTTGGAGAAATAGAGGACTCTTAATGCCTCTTCTGGTCATCACAAGTGTAAATGCATGAACAGGTGCACGTACCCTCCATTTACACATGCTTAAAACTCACATGGGTGTATAAAACAGCCTCTCACAAATAAATACATAAGCAAAAACAAACCTAATGTAAGAGAACGCAACCATTGACCCGTTCTTAGGGTTGGCATAAATTTTCTGTTATGACCTCATTTTAGTTATTATTACTAACATAATGTGACTTGGGGCAGAGGCTTGCATTGGCTTTGAATTTCAGATTTTAAGTTTGAAAGAAGCCAAGTACTGAAGTGCTATTTTGAAGGTATCTCTTCCATTGTTTGACTATTTGCTTGCTTGCTTTCAGGATCTCTTGGATCGTGTAGAAGATTTCCAGCAGCATAGCCAGAAACTACTGTCTGAGGAAATGCCTAGTGCTTCTCAGCTGCAGGACTTGCTGGATGTCAGCTTTGAATTTGATGTTGAACTTCCACAACTTGCTGAGATTCGTATTCGCTTAGAACAGGCCCGTTGGCTAGAAGAGGTGCAACAAGCTTGCCTAGATTCCAGTTCCCTTTCATTGGATGATATGAGACGACTCATAGACTTAGGGGTGGGGCTGGCGCCATATTCAGCAGTGGAGAAAGCTATGGCCCACCTACAAGAACTGCTTACAGTGTCAGAGCACTGGGATGACAAAGCCAAAAGTCTTCTCAGAGCAAGGTAAAACAAAACAAATCTTAACATCTCCCTTGGGAAGTTTGGATAATAGGTAAACTATAGAGCATAGAGCACAGAGGCCAGCACACTGTCCATGTAATACTTGGCCAAAAAACTTATCTGAATGGGCCTGCTTTGAATCGTGGGTAAAGAAAATTAGCCAGGCTGTGATGGTGCACAGCTTGTGAAGCAGAGGCAGTGGATCTTTGTGAGTTTGAGGCCAGCCCCTGGTCAACAAAGTGAGTTCCAGGATAGCCCGAGCTATATAATAACACTCCCTTTCAAAAAAGGAAGAAAGGAAAATTAATGTTCATTTTACTGCTTATGAAATAATTGGTTTAAATGGGAATGGCTTTAAAAGAGATTAAATTAAATTTCCCTATACTCTCTAATGATACTATCTTTCGGAGAAGGAAATGTTTACAAATATGTGGAACTATTCAAATGCAGAGTCATGAAAGACAAATGTCTGAGAGTTAACGTGCTTATTTTATGCACTGATGATAATGCAGAGTATTTTCAGTAGAAATAACTATTTTTGCTGGTGCTGTGTAAATCCTGATTTTTAATCTGTGTAGACTTTTGATTGAGATGTGATATCTGCACCAGAAGTGAAAATGAAGTTATTTTCTGGTCTTGCTTTCTGTGTGGCAGATCTTTATTGGTTCAGTGGACAACATAAACATTAAGAAGTCTAGGTTATAGATACTGTTTTGCATTAGAGGATATGAAATATTTTGGTATTGTGAGTTGTGTTAATGTTTTAGAGAATTTGCATTTTCTAAGTTTATTTTATTCTTTTGGTTATTTGAGACAGGGTTTCTCTGTGTAGCCCTGACTGTCCTGGAACTCAATCTGTAGACCAGGCTGGCCTTGAACTCAGAGAGATCCACCTACTTCTGCTTCTCAAATGCTGGGTTTAAAGGCGCTTAGTTTATCTGATTCTTGACATCAATCTTAACACAGAAGAAATTACTAATTATATATTACTTTATGCAGTAGACTTTGTGTTATATCATAAAATCAGAAATAGGTAGAATTAAAATGCTGTTTTGGAATCTAAGATTGGGGCGATGGCTCAATTGTTAAAAGTCCCTTCTGCTCTATCCTAGCGCGCGCGCACGAAGAAAATCTTACTTGTTCTTAAATCTTAGTCATTTCAAATGAGTTAACTTGATACGTGTTGATGATGTCATTAACAAAAGTTTTTTTTTTTTTTTGCTATGATAAATTATTTTGATATGTCTAATGTTTTGATTTTGTAGACCACGGCATTCTTTGAGTAGCCTTGCTACAGCAGTAAAGGAAATGGAAGAGATTCCTGCCTATCTGCCCAATGGTGCAGTTCTGAAAGATTCAGTGCAGAGAGCCAGAGACTGGCTTCGAGATGTAGATGCACTGCAGGTTGGTTTAAAAAAGAAAAGTGTCGTCAATATAAGTGAGCAGTTAGCTGCCATCCCGTCCTCCACTCCCACCCCCACCACCACACACACACCTGGACAGAAAAAGGAGAGAAACTTTGCAACTGCTGTTCCTCAGTGTTGACAGCAGAGTGGATAAGCAGGTGGAAGCAGAAGGTTACAGCCCTCTGATAATTGAACTGTTAGCTCACATTCTGACAGCTCTCAGACATGTAATTACTATGCCTACAGGTTTTCTTTCTTAGAGCCTGCTATCTCTCATTTTTCTATTTTCTTTTGTTGTTACCTTTATTTTGTGTGTGTGGGAGGACAACTTTGATTGTTACTCCTCATATGCTGTTCACTTATTTGTAAGAATTTTCATGAAATGCCTTAAGACCTTTTTTAGATTTATTTATTTTTCATATGTATGAGTGTTTTGCATGTATGTATGTCTTTGTACCATATGTGTGCCTGGTTCCTAAGGAGTTCCAAAGAGGGTATTGGATCCCCTGGACCTGAAGTTACAGATGGTTGTAAAATGGCATCAGTGTGGTTGCTGGGAGTCAAACCTTGGGTACCCAGGAAGAGCAGCCAGTGCTCTTAACCTCTATGCCATCTCTCCAGCCCAGTCCTATAAAATATCTTTCATTCTTTGACAACTTCTCCAACTTCCTTCTCCCATTCCTTATAGAACTTCCAGTGGGTCCCCCTCCCCACTTCACGTTCCTTCTCTTTTTAATCTATGGACCTATCCTTAACATACTAAATCAGAATATCTGGGTTGGGGACCAGGAAATTGTATATGAGTAAATTTCCCAGATGATTTTGTTTTGTTTTTGAATATGGGGTTTCTCTGTGTAACAGCTTTGGGTGTCATGGAACTCGGATTTGTGGACCAGGCTGACCTCAAATTCACAGAGATCCGCTTGCCTCTGCCTCCCAAATGCTGAGATTAAAGGCCTGTGCCACCAACTCCCAGCTCACATTATTTTATCTATCAGAGTCTAACATTAACTAGATTTATGGGTTATTTGTTGAAGGAAAAACAAATGTTGCTCTTTCCTCCCCACCCGACCCTCAGTGAATTTAACATATTGAAATCATGGGACATTGATCATGGGCCAGACTGAATTGCGCTTTTCTTCTTTTACATAGAAGTATTCATTTCTTAATTTATTAGGCAGGAGGACGTGTGCCAGTGTTAGAAACGCTCGTCGAACTTGTTGCAAGGGGTCGATCTATCCCAGTACACCTGAATTCTTTACCAAGATTGGAATTACTAGTAGCTGAAGTTCAAGCATGGAAAGAATGTGCTTCTAAAACATTCTTGACTGAGAATTCACCATATTCTTTGTTAGAGGTAAGTTTGCAACCATCTCTAGTTTGAATACTTTCCAGAGCATGCAAAAGTGGCCCCATTGGTGGATCTATCTAATGTTAGTTGTTTTTAAGAATCTTTAAATGTTCTTGGCTATATCTAGGGTGTAGTCAAAATATTTTTCCACTAGCATTTGTTCTGTGTATGGTAGAGTCTCACTCTGTAGCCAGGTGGTCTTGAAATTATGCCAGTCTTCTTTCTGGTCTTTCTCTTAAGTTCAGGGACTACAGGTGTGTACATCACACCTGCCTGGGTAAAGGTTTCTGTTTATGGTAAAATTAGACTCTAAGCCTGACTGTGATTCACTACATTCATTTTATCTTAGTTTTATTTTATGTGTATGGGTGTTTTCCTACAGTGTATCTGTGCAAATGTGTGTGTAGTGCCTATGGAAGGCTGAAATCCAAGTCTGATCCCCTGGAACTGCTGTTACTGGGCGGGTGCTAGGAATTGTACCCCACTTCTCTCAAAGAGCAGCCAGTGTTATTAACCACTGAGACGTCTACATTTTAGTAAACCTGATATAACCTCACCAACTTTTCATAAAAAGTGCTTAAGCTGTATTTTTCGTTTTTCTTGTAAGCTGGTGCTTATGCATTTTCATTGGAATCAGTTAGCATATATCACATTTTTACTTATTTCATTAAATTTGTTATAAGGCTTTGTTTTTTCAAACATGCTTCTCCCACTCCCTTTTTATTTTCTTTTTTTAATCAATTAATGGTGTGTATGTGTGTGCACAGTTTTCAGAATTAGGCAGCATTTTTCAAGGAAAATGATAGATAATAAGAAATGTACACTTTGCCCACTCCTTAGGCTTTTAACCTGTGTAATCTGAAATTTATTTCAATAATGGTCGTGTTTTCCCTTACACTAGGTGCTTTGTCCGAGGTGTGATATTGGCCTTTTGGGATTGAAAAGGAAGCAGAGAAAGTTGAAGGAGCCCTTGCCAAGTGGGAAGAAGAAAAGCACCAAATTAGAGAGTCTGAGTGACCTGGAGAGGGCCTTAACCGAGAGCAAGGAGACTGCTTCAGCTGTGCGTAGTAGGATGTCCTCTATTTGTTTTGTGGGAGGGTAGTTGCTTACCCTTTTAGGTACTATGTTGGAATATTGTCGCAATTAGTAGGATAATTTGAAAAGTGCTTGAGTTTGCCAAAAGGGCTTTTGAAAATTGTCAAGTTTAAAGATAGCTGTTAGGGCCCAGTGGTAGTGGCACACACCTTTAATTCCCAGCACTGGGGAGGCAGAAGCAGGTGGATCTCTGTGAGTTGGAGTTCCAGCACAGCCAGGGCTACACAGAGAAACCCTGTTTTCCTTGGAAAAGAAAAACAAAAAAAGCTATTTCAATTGTAAAAAACACTTGTCTGGTGTTAATGAGTTCTTGATTTCTGCAAAATAATAAATTTTTTTTTTTTTTTTTTTTTTTTTTTTTGGAGTAGGGCAATGTCACTGTGCCTGGCTCAAGTCTGAGTCTTGAATATTGAGACTGCATATGGGTTTATCTAGAAATACTAGTTAGGAGATCAGTGCTGCCAAAAAGGGGAAACATGTTAACTTGACTAGGAACCACTTTAAAAGTATACCATAGTTAGGTGAGGTGGGACTCAGGAGGCAGAGGCAAATGAGTTCCAGGCCAGTCAGAGTTAATGAGACCTGATTTCAAATGTAAAAAAAAAATTATACTGTATATATACTGACATTTTCTATGCAATGTTTATTCAAGATAGCATTAAGAAAGTGAGACGGTGTCTAAGTAATGTTTTAGTGAGCATGATGAATGCCATAATGAAGAGGGGGTAGCTGTGAGATTTGGATGCTTTGGTGAGATTGCTCAGTGGGTGAAGTCCCTTGCCAGATTTGGAGCATCGCCTCTTAAGAATATAGTCATGTGTCATTTAAAAATGGGATAAATTTTGGGGAATGTATTGTTGGTCAGATTAGTCTTTGTATGGGTATCTTACCAATTGATACAAACCAGTATGTCTACAATGGCAGTAGTAGTGGACAGTTAGAGTCTTTCCAGGATCACTGGTATATCCTGTCAAAACATCATTACGGTGTTTAACTGAATAAACTTCCCTGTACAACTAGACAGAAAGGCCTCTTCCTTGGGCCACAGCACCTTTTTTGTAGCTACCAGACTTTTTGGGATTGACACAGAATTGCCTTGGTGTATTTATGAATTTTGACAACTGGAGTCTTACGAAAGACAATCAAGTCTTAGCAAAATTTTGTTTTTTTCATTTAGAGTATGTGTGTGTGTCTGCTACTTGAGCACCATTCTGGTGTTTTCAAGGTAGCTACTGTATCTGGTTCATTTTATGAAGGCTTCATTGAAAATGATAGTTGTTTCCCTTGAAATACATCAATGCCTATTTCAACTCAGATTCTAGCATCTGCCTATCTAATACAGGGGTTCCTTGTCTAAGGATTGGTTCCCTTGTGTACATACCCTATGGATGTGAAAGGTCAGTCATTTGCTCTCCATTGCTAAACTGTAGGAGGAGACCTTATCATATTACATACATGCATACATATGTACGTGTCTATTCATTATGAACGTTACATTCAACAAAAATAGATGTTATCTTAATATACCAGAAGTTTGCTATTTGCTTTAATTCTATACCTGTCCCTGTTGTTTAGGAAAAAAAAATCATTCATTCATTTATCCACTTCCCCAATCTGAAAAGAAGTAATGGGGTATTCATTCTGTCCTAATGACTCAGGTGCCCCATCTGATGACTTAAGTTTGATCTGGCTTAGTTAGTTCTTTGTAATTTTTTTGTTTGATCATTGTTTGTTTTGTATTGTTTTTTGAGACAGGGTTTCTCTGCATAAAAGCTTTGTAGATCAGGCTGACCTCTATTTTTGGTTGTGAGCCTAGCCTTTGACGGCTAAGCCATCTCTCTAGCCCCAGGCTGGCCTCTAACTCGAAGAGATTCGCCTGCCTCTGTCTCCCCAGTGTTGGGATTAAAGGTGTGTGCCACCTGCCTGGCCCCAGATGGTTTTCTATTTAACTGTTTTGTCAGGAACTAATGTCATAGTCCCTTATTGCTGTGTTCATCACATGGACGACTTAGCAGTGAACAACAGTAGGTACCCCACCCCACCCGTTTGTAGTTCAGGCTGGACTCAAACTCAGACAGTCCTCCTGACTTAGCCTCTTGAGTACTATGCTTCAGTCTTGAGCTACCACACCTGGCTCTAGACTTTCTGTCTCGTGTACCCTTCTGAAAGGCCACAAAATCTAACAGAATGAAAGCTGGTAGAGAAGGTCAGAAATGAGCATACAGAAAGTATCATTGCCAGTATTTCCTATGTGCAAGGCGGAGAGTGTTCTGACTCATATCTCATTTGATTCTCATTGTAGACCTTGTAGAGTACATTTTTGTGCATGCAGAAATTTAGCCGTGGTGGATATGGCTTGGCTTGAGGCAGAGCTTGTTCTGTATTTTGAGTGCAGATATCTACTCTGGAGCCCATCTAATTAACTTAAGAGTTTTGAGTTGTGGATGAGGGATAGTTCTCTATGACAATGTCCATGATGGCTCACTCCTTTCCAGATGGCAACTCTTGGGGAAGCTCGCCTAAGAGAGATGGAAGCTTTGCAGTCTCTCAGACTTGCCAATGAAGGGAAATTGCTGTCATCTGTCCAAGATGTAGAAATGAAAGTCTGTCTGTGCCAGAAGACTCCAGCCACTCCCATGATCCAGTGTGAACTCTGCAGAGATGCTTTCCACACTTCTTTGCCAGAAGCCCCCAGCCACTCCCATGATCCAGTGTGAACTCTGCAGAGATGCTTTCCACACTAGTTGTGTGGCAGTACCTAATATTTCACAAAGCCCCCGAATCTGGCTTTGTCCTCATTGTCGAAGGTCAGAGAAGCCTCCATTAGAGAAAATTCTGCCCCTGCTAGCCTCCCTACAGCGTATACGAGTTCGTCTTCCTGAGGGGGATGCACTTCGCTATATGATTGAAAGAACCGTGAACTGGCAACATAGAGCTCAGCAGCTACTTTCTTCAGGGAATCTAAAATTTGTGCAAGACCAAGTGGGCTCTGGACTGTTTAGCAGATGGCAAGCCTCAGCAGGACAGGCATCAGAGACAAACAAGGTGAGCCTGGCTTTTTTGGGGTACTGACATCTGCGTAATAACTCTGTGGTCCTGTCTGGTGTTGGCCATTCCTGAGACTGTCTCTCCTTCTGTCACTAGAATTTATGGCACTTATACTTCCCTCTTTAGAGCCCATTCACCTCTCTCTGTCCTTACACTTTTCTCTGTCCCTAATTGTCAGGAGTTTTTGTTTGTTTGCCTTTAAAATTATTATTAGTGTGTGTGCTCTTGAACATGCATGATTTGGGGGCATGTCAAAAGGCCGTTTTTGTGAACAGTTCTCTCCCTTTACCTCACGTGGGTTTTGAGAACTCTGGTCATAGGCTTGTACCTCAAGCCATCTCGATGGCCCTGCTCTTTGTGTTTTAAGATGCGGTCTCCCCTAACCCAGACTGGTCATGAACTCATGGTATCTAAGGATGATGATGAACTTTGTCCTCCTGCCTCTGTCTACTGAGTGCTGAGGTTATAGACATGTGACATTATTTGGTTCTGGGGATTGAACACTTGACCGACCAAACTTCTTAGACATTCTGTTTATGTCATGCACATGTGTGTACTTTTTTGTTTATACAAATAATTTTTCTACTTCATTCTGTTAACCTGTATGCAAGTTTAATTTATGTATATATTCTTATTTAAAATTTTTGTTTGATTGAAAATTTTCCTTTCATGTAAGTCACTGTGTTGAAAGGGAAACCACTTGCTTTGTCCTTTTGGCTTTTAAGAAAGAATGATGTTTGAAGGGTTCAGATGCATCTACATGTGTTTGCGTGTGTAGACCCTGGGGCAGGTTCCTTAGGAGATGTCTATCTTGTATTTTTTGAGACAGGGTTTCTCACTAAACCCTGAGGCTCACCAGTTTAAGCTAGTTTGCCTGGCCAGTGGATTTTAAGGATATGCTTGTCCCCTATTCTCTGGTCCTGGGACTGACTACTAGCACATGCTACTGTGCCTAGCTTATTGTTGGTGGTCTGTTTGTTTGCTTGCTTTAGTGTGAGTGCTGGAGATCAAACTCATGTGTTCATGCTTATGACAAACACTTTACAAATTGAGCTGGGCTCCCTATGTTCCTATTTATGATCTTATCAAAAGGCAGGTTCTTCTTATCAAAAGGTGGTCAGTTTCCTGTTGTCTCCTGTAGGTGGACTGTAGGAAAAGAGTGTGATGGATAAAGGAAATGCAGTTAGAATGGCAATTGTCAATCTTTATATTCTAAAAACCAGGGTTTTTAAAAGAATTATTATTTATGTGTATGTGTGTTACCTACATGTATGTGTGTACCACTTGTGTGCCTGGTGCTGGCAGAGGTTTGAAGAGTGTACTGGATCCCCTGGAACTGGAGTTACACTGTATAGGTGTTCGAAATTAAACCCAGGTCCCCTACAAAAACAAGTGCTCTTAAATGCTGAGCCAAGTCTGTAGCCCCTTTAAAATTGTTTTTACAATTATATGTGTTTATGTGCTCCCATGCAGGAATCCGTTCTCTTCTTCCATCTTGTGAATTCTGGTCATTGAACTCAGGTCATTGAACTCAGGCATATAGGCAAGCAGCTTACCTGCTGAGCCATTTTGGTGGCCCCTTATCCCAATATATTTCTGTAACAAAGATATTTACAAACTGGGCATAGTAATATTCATCTGTATCCTTAGCTATTCAGAAGCCTGAAGCAGGTAGGATCACTTGAGCACAGGAGTTTTAGACCAGTCTGGGCAAAGTAGAGACCCCCATATCTCTCTTAACAACTTGAGGCTAGATATGGCCTGGTGTGTTTGCCTGGGGTTTGACCCCAGCACCACAAAAGAGAGGAAAGGAGGAGAGATCATAATTCTTGGGAGTTGAGTGCTTAGCAGAGCACAAGTAAGGACTGAAAATAGCCTGTCTTAACTTCATTTGTTCCTCTTCAGGCTTCTGTAATAGCAAGTGATTAAATATTTGCTGCTGTTGGGTAGCCAGTGACAGAGCCACTTGTATTCCTTTACCAAGGGTGTGCTGAGAGTTAATGAACATAAAGGACACACTGTTGCTTGTTTTTTGAGACAGGGTTTCATAGAGTCATAGATGTCCTTAAACTCCTGATCCTCCCACTTATTGGGATTACAGGTGTGAGCCACCAAGCCTAGCTGTTACATGACCTTTGAGTAAAAAGAGTTAAACATAAACAATGAAAGGTGGTATAATCTGTTCTCTTGAGAGGAAATGGTTTTTTTTCCCCAATGTCTTCACCTTTTTGAGATCAGTCTGAGTAAAATTGAGAAGTTGAATAACTTTGTTTCTAGGAGGGTTGTTTTGGCCCGTTTCTGGATGCCAGAGGTGACTTACTAAAAAACAAACAAACAAAAAAACTTTATTCTAGAAGATACTTCCGTTGGATTGGTAGTGTTTTTGATCTGCAAAAGCCTTGTAATAAGGTGTTTCTCTTTCATTAGGTGTCTCAACCTCCTGGTACCACATCCTTTTCATTGCCTGAGGACTGTGACAACAGAAGCTCGTTTTCACATTCTCCCGGACAGAGTTGTGTTCCCCTCCATGGTTTGTATTGTATACATACTGTTCCTAGATAGTAACAGGCCATTTTGCTTAGGTTTTTGTAATTGATGATCTGGTATCCTAATGAACTATATCCTTGCCAGATATGGTATCCAAATATGTAAAAAATAACAGAAGCACTCAGGAGGCTGAGGCAGAAGGATTATGAGTTCAAGGCTTTCCGAGCTACATAGCAAGGCTCAGTTTTAAAAACAACAACCAAACCGAAGACCTTTAGTATTGTGCATTTTCTTAGTAGTGAAGTTAGCCCTACTCCAGCTAACACCAATCACCATGTATTTAGGTCATAATGCTAAGTCATGGATTACCTTGTTTTAGACTTCTAGAATATAATAGAGGTAACCCATATTTGAAACCTACCTCCTTCTCACCCCCCCCCCCTTCAGTTAAGGTCTCCTTTAGCCCAGGGTGACCTCAAATTCATGCCAGAAGAGGGCACCAGATCTTATTAGAGATGTTTGTAAGCTATAGGACTCTGAAAGAGCAGCCAGTGCTCTTAACCTCTGAGCCATCTCTTCAGCCCTGGTCTCAAATTCAATGTTGAGCCAAAAATGATCTTTTAACATTTTTTTTATTTATTTTTATTTTATGTTTGTGGGTGTTTTGCCTGCATGTATGTCTGTACCGTGTGCATGTAGTGTCTACAAAGGCCATCAGATCCCTGGGACTGTAATTACAGCTAGTTGTTGGCCACCATGTGGGTGCTGGAAGTTGAACCCAGGCCCTCTAGAAGAGCAGCTAGTGCTTTTATCTTCTGAGCCACCTCTCCAACGCCAGTCAGCGATCTTAAACTCATGGTCTAGGTTCTACCTGCCAAGTGCTGAGATTACAGGTGTGTGCTATCACACTTGGCTGTTTTCCTCCCCATCTCCTCTTTCACCTCCTCCTCTTCTACTGTGTGTGTGTGGGGGGGGGTAGGGGTTTCATTAGCTTAAGTTGGCCACAAACTCCCTATGTAGCTGAGCATAAACTTGAATTCCTGATCATCTTACTTACAATTCAGAAGTGCTGGCATTGTAAGTGTGGACTACCATACATAGTCTTCCTTAGCGTTCTGCCTAAAGTTTCAACTGGAATCTTGATCCTTACTCTGTGTTTAGTTATGTGGTCTGAGCTCCTTGCTCTGCTCAAATTATTGATGCTATAGGGCAGCAGTGTCTTCTTTTTTTTTTATTTTTTTTATTTTTTATTTTTTTTGAGACAGGGTTTCTCTGTAGCTCTGGCTGTCTTGGTCCTAGAACTTGCTCTGTAGACCTGCTCTCCTGGAACTCGAAGATAATAGCCTGTCTCTGTCTCCTGACTGCTGGGATTAAAGGCATGTACACCACCTGGCAGGCCAGCAGTTTCTTTTTTGACAGTGAAATCTGTCAAGATAGAAGACATGATCTTTTCTTTTTTTGTATTAGTAATAGGTAAAGAGTGAATTCTGATGGAGTGGGTATTTCCTCTGGAACCAAAGCCTTACGTAATCTAACTTAGCCTCTCTCTGTTGTATTATGGTGTCTTAGATAGGATTTCTGTTGTTGTGAAGAGACACCATGACCACAGTAACTCATTTGTTTGTGTTTTTGTTTGTTTGTTTGTTTTGAGGCAGGGTTTCTCTGTGACTTTGAAGCCTGTCCTGGAACTCTTCTCTGTAGACCAGACTGGCCTTGAATTCACAGAGATTCACATGCCTCTGCCTGGGATTAAAGGCGTGCGCCATCACTGCTGGGCCTGACCATAGCAGTTCTTTTATAAAGGAAAAACATTTAGCTGGGCATTGGTGGTGGCTTACAGTTCAGAGGTTTAGTCCATTATGATTATGGTGTAATTTGGTGATGTTCAGGCAGACATGGTACTGAAGAAGGAGTTGAGAGTCCTACATCTTGAACTGCAGGCAGCAGGAAGTGAACTGAGACACTGGGTGTAGCTTGAGCATATATGAGACCCCTCAAAGCCGCCCCCACAGTGACACATTTCTTCCAACAGGGCCATATTTAACTCCAACAAATCCATACCTCTTCATTGTGCCATTCCTTATGAGTAGGCAGCCAATTACATTCAAACTACCACATACAGTTTAGGTACATTACAAAGACCTAACAAACTAACTGCAGTTAAAAGAGGAAAGTGGCATGGGGGACAATGTTCTGTGCTGACAAGCATTAAATGTGCATGTATTAAATCTTGCTGTTTCTGTTTTGATTGGGTTTGGTCTTTACCAGGTGTGAGTCCAGAAGTGAATGAATTGTTAATGGAAGCCCAGTTGCTCCAGGTATCCCTTCCTGAAATTCAGGAACTTTATCAGACTTTACTTACAAAGCCAAACTCTGCTCAGCAAACTGACCGAAGCTCACCTGTTAGAGCCAGTAGTGAAAAGGTGAGTGACAGGCTGCTGGGAAGCAGCACGTCTGCAGCGGGATTGCGTGTTTTAGTGTCACCACGTAATGCTTTGGTAAAAGAGATAGATCTGTCTTTGAGCCAGAAGAGCGTGCAAACTGTACCTCACAACTCCATTCTGCAATGGACAGACACTGAAACCATTCACAGCAGTTGGGGTGTCATTGCTTAGATTTGTTTTATATCTGAATTTTTTTCTTTTTTCCTTTTTAGGGAACTCTTCTCTTCCTTGATAATAGTGAGGAGTAGGATTACTTTTCTCTATAGAAGCAATGCTATAAAGATGACCATTGTAGCTGAAAGGGCCTTCCTTTTGTTGGCAAAGATTTTAAAGATGCATAATAACAAATGCTTTTCTTTACTAACCTCCAAACTAGGAGGCTAAGACTGGATGTAGATGCTTACGGTGCTTATCCTAGGTGCTGAAGGATACTCTGTAATGTCCTATTATACACACACACACACACACACACACACACACACACACACACACACACACACACTGCCCCTCACCCCTTTCATGTATGTTTTTGTATGGTGTGGGTTTATGTGTATATGCATGTCTCATGCATATGTATATTTATGCTTGTGCATGTGGATCCTGAAGTTGATGACTCATTGATTGCTCTTCTCCACCTGATTCACTGAGATAGGATCTCTGAATTGAGCTTGCAGATGGGCATTAGCCAGCTTGCTCCGGGGATTCCCTTGTCTCTGCCTTCCAAGGCTGAAACCACAGACAAGCCACCACAACCATTGAGTATTGACATGAATTCAGGGGCTCCCTCTGGTCACTTGGCTTTCATGGCAAGAACATTAAAACTGCTGACCTGTCTCCCCAGCCCCTGTAATGTCCTCTGTCTTAGCATGGTTGGAGCTTCTGCTGCCTTCTAGCTCTGTAAGGAGCCTGTCACACACAAAGCACCTGAGAATATAATCAGATAAAAACCCACTGGGAAGAGTGAAGCCACAATGAAAAAGACCTCACGAAAGGCCCCTGAAGACTGATTACCGACTGAGTTAAATCATTTTCTCCTGAAAGGGTGGAATGTATGTCCTTAGCAAACACTTAGATAGAACAGCCTCAGTCACTCACTTAGGGTGAAAAGAAGGGTCTATGTTTATCTTTTCTCTATTGGTGCTAGTGGGCCACCTTGAAGGTCAGTGATGTCATTAATACCCTTTCCCAGTGCTCCCTCAGTTCATCTACAGTGAGGAGAGGGATGCTGGAAGTTAGCTGGTTGTTCTTGAGGACTAGGAGTGGGGAGATGGTAGTGGTTAGGACTCAGTAAATACTGAGGAATCATTTGGCTTCTCTTTGCATATTTTCTTTAGTTGTATCAGTTTTAGTAATGGACAAACAGAAGGCTAAAATTGAATTTGCCATCTCCTACCCAGAATGATTGCCTTCGAGGGAAACGAGATGGAGTCAACAGTCTTGAAAGAAAATTGAAGAGACGCCCAGAAAGAGAAGGCCTTCCCAGTGAACGGTGGGATCGAGTTAAAAAAATGCGGACCCCCCAAAAGAAGAAAATCAAATTGAGTCACCCCAAGGACATGAACAATTTCAAATTAGAAAGAGAGCGTAGCTATGACTTAGTCCGTAATGCTGAAACACATTCGCTACCCTCAGACACGTCCTACTCGGAGCAGGAGGACTCTGAGGATGAAGATGCCGTCTGTCCAGCTGTGAGCTGCCTGCAGCCAGAAGGAGATGAGGTCAGTGAGGTGTGGGCCATAGAGGACGCTTTCCCTTAACTAAGAAACCCTATAAGCTAGACCTCATCTCCTCGGGGCTTTCTCCTCTGCTTGTCTGCTTTGGGCTGATCTGAATGGATTGTTCAGTTTCCCCTACTGATATCTCTGCTTTTAACCATCGGTCCTGGGTCTCCTCCCTTTTCTTGAAGAAACTCTGGTTCTTCCCTTTTTTCCTTCTCTTACTCCTCCAGCTTTCACCATCCCGGCGCCTGGAAGGTTGGGGGGGATGCTGATGGAGTGCCCTTTTGCTTTTATGGTCACAGGGCAGCACTGTCTACCCCAAAGCAGGCACAACTGAAGAGTGACTCTGCCTCGGTTGCTTTGGCGGTGGGACAGCTACACTCCTGTGGTTAGCTGTTGTGCCAGAGGCCCCAGTGCTGGGACAGTGGCCATTAGTGGCAAACGGCCTGAATGTCTTGAGGCTGGCCTGCCCAATTTTGAATGGCATTCTTTTCCTCTGAACATCCCATCTCCCTGCTCTTTGTAACCAGGTGGACTGGGTCCAGTGTGATGGCAGCTGCAATCAGTGGTTTCACCAGGTCTGTGTTGGTGTCTCTCCAGAGATGGCAGAGAAGGAAGACTACATCTGTGTGCGCTGCATGGCAAAGGACACACCAAGCCGAAAGTAAAAACAAAACACACTCACTTAATGGAATTCAGGACTCCAGCAAAGAAGATTTCCTCAATCTCAGCAAAGCTACAGGACTGGGGTCAAGCCAGCCTGTACACGGTGCTATTTCTATTCCTTGCGGGATCATTTTTCCAGAACTCTTTGAAAAAAAGAAAAAAACAACTAAAAAAATTTTTGACACTTTTTGTATTTTTTTCCTTAAGAGCTGTTTGTGGTTGTTGAAGTTTAAAATGCTGACTGTTTTTTGCAGGGGTCTCTACCAATTTCGAAGGTATTGGAGTTTGCACCTTTTCGTGTACAGCATTAACATTGTACTTCTGCCTGGGATTTACCGGCTTAAGAGTCCAACTCAGTTTCAGGTCCCAGAAAGGGCACCAGAATTCCAGTAACCCTCACTGAGCAACCGTTCTCCTTTACTCTGTTACCATATTGGGGGATTTTAAGTTTTTCACTTTGGGGTTTTTGTTCCTTTCTTTCTCTATCTACTTTTTTTTTTTTTTTTTTTTTTTTTTCTTTCTCTTTTTTTTTTTTTTTTTTTCCTGGTAGGCTAGGTTTATTTATCTGAGCAATAACTTCTATGTTGGTTTCAGTGGCTGGAATTAAAACAAACAAGCTTCTAAACGGTGTGTTGGTGCTTTAGCATTTGGTTAATGTACAGACCACAAACGTCCTGTAGAAAGAGACTGCGCTGTCAGTAATCCCACGCCTGTATTTTGGCTTTGTCCCTGCCGGTTTCTTCCCCTATTTTTTTTTTTTTTTTTTTTTAGGTTGTATCAAATGTTGCAGTTTATATTGTGGAATAATAAATCCTTGGTCCTATTGTAACACTAGACTGCAGCTTCTTCTGCCCCTCCACCTTGTGGGCCTACAGAACCAGAGGGCTTGCTTGCCTTTGCTTCTCCCCAGGCAGGCTGCAGCAGAAGTGTGTTTGTCTTCAAACTTGTGGAGACTCTGTCTTTGTAGCCTGATTCTTTAGGTGAGTCCTTGCCTTCATGCCCCCACTAATTAAAAAAACAAAACAAAACCCTGTCTTCAAAGACCAGAGCCATTCCTTCAAGCCATGCTCTTTATAAATAAGCTCTCAGAATGTTGGAGTGGTCCCTATATCACTTCAGACTTCAAATAAGTCCTTATTTGCTCTTATATTTGAATTGTCAGGGAAATTTGGTCAAGAGTAAGATCCTGGGATTCACCCTCTTAGAGGGTTGGTTTTATTGTATCAGTTGGGACTTGGGACTACCAGCCCTGCCTGCCTGGGATTCCTTTACCAACTCTAATTCCATTCATCTTTACTGGCTGTGGACAGCCCATAGCTATTTCCCAACTTTCTGCAGAGGGGAAGGGTTCCTGGTGAGCAGAACAACAGGTTCCTGCTTACTCTTCCTAAATTGTTGCAGACACTTGTTTTCCTCACTGTCTATAGCCACAAGCCTGATGGTGGGTAGAACTAGTAGATCTTTAATAAAACATCAAAAAACCAGTTTGTGATGTAGCAGAGATCTAAATGTACTATCCCCTTTATGCAATGCAGATGATTAAATCTGTTTAAGAATAACTCCTAGTGGTCTGCAATGTCCTGCAGTTGCTGTGATGTCGCTTCTTGTCTGGGGATGAGAGTAAGCTTTGAAGGGGGGGCACTGTGGAGACCAGGGGTGCAGCTCGGTGGTAGAGCCGCTTGTCTCACATAAGCAAGGCCCTGGATCCCATACCCTGCACTACCAAAAATAAGTCAGGCTCAAAGAACTGCTGCTAAAATAAAGTCTGACTTTGACCCCTCCTTTCCTCCAGGTCTTCATAGTTGTTTGTTTGGTTTGCTCATTTGAGATAAGAGTTTGATGTGACCTAAGCTGGCTATGTAGCCAAGGGCGATATTGCCTGCCTCTACCCCTGAATTCTGGGGTTACAGGTGTGCACCACTGTATCTGATTTATGTGGTGCCAGGCAACCACTCTACCATGTGAGCTTTATTTGTACCCTTCAGCAGCTTGTCTTCATGTGTACCTGTGCATAGTCTCTGAGATAGCTGCTATTCATGGATGGGAGATTTGAACCATTCCCTCCCCAATGGGAATCATGTTTTTTTCTTTCTTTTAAGTTGACACCACAACTAAAGTGTCAGCTACACAAAATCATACTATGAGTCAAAATCAAATGACTCCTAGGATTTCTTCAGTTCTTCAAGTGTACTTATCTATACCACCTTGTGCAGTATCAAACACTGCAATTCAGCTTCCAATTTAGGCCATCTTTTATGCCTGACTATAAACTAAAGCTTTATTAAAAAAAAAAATACATTCCATTATATGTTAGCTTTGAAGCTTGCTAATACCTTAGCAGTGGTTCTCAGCTTGTAGATTGAGACCCCTTTAGCAAACCTATCTCAAAGTTCTTACATTAAAATTCATAACTACCAAAATTATAGTTATGAAGAGCAATGAAAGTAATTTTATGCTTGGGGGTCACCATAACATGAGGGCTGTACTAAAGGGTTGTAAACATTAGGAAGGTATGGAGAAAAGATAAAATGGCCACTGACATGAGTTTCCATCTTAGTGGCCTTGCAGTTCCTGGGCTCGGAGGAGAGAAGAGTGGAGTTAAGAGCCAGAGTTAAGGGGAGGGCAGTTAGTGAGCAAACAATGAGATTGGAGAACTCTGGCAATTGTTGGGAGAGAGCACTCCACCTCACTTCACTGACTTACTGGAAGGTTTCTTATGCAGAGTAAAGAGCTTGTTTTCTATAAAGCTAGTAGCTAGAGAAAGTATGCTTTGACCTAGCTGTCCAGCTCACTGGGAGTGGGGAGATGAAGTGCCACTTTCAGTGGTGGATAATAACACAAACTTGCTTCATCTGTCACTGAGGCTTAAGACAATGAGATGATCTGGAAATGTAATGTGTTAACAGTGTGTATGTATGCGCGCGCGCGCGCGCCTGTAATCCCAAAAGGATTTTTGCCTCCGTTCAAGTCCAGCCTGGGTTAAGTAGCAAGACCCTGTTTAAAAACAAAACAAAAGGGCTGGAGAGATGGCTCAGAGGTTAAGAGCACTCACTGGATTCTCTTCTAGAGGACCCAGGTTCAATCCCCAGCATCCATGTGGCAGCTTACAACTGACTGTAATTCCAGTTCCAAAGGATCTGGCACCTTCACCCAGACATGCATGTAGGCAAAACACCAATGCACACAAAGTAAGTAAAGAAATTAGCTTTTAAAAACTTTAGAGATTAATATCTTCTCATTTGGCAGATGTGGCGACGATGCACTGGTTTGCCCACCACTAAAAGCACACACTTGTAATCCTAGCACTTAGGATGTTGATTCAGGAGGATTGTGAATTTGAGGTCATCCTGAGTTCCATAGAGAGACTGCCTCCAAAAGCTACAACAGTAAGAGATGGCTCTTGGGTGTTCCCGTTTGATTAGCTGGAGGACAGTAAATGTTTCCTGGGCAGTGATTGAAACAGTTTCTCTCAACAGGGCTGTACTCCAAAGGGCATATTTTGTGGAGTCAGCTCTCCTACCTTTACCTGGGTACCAGGGATCAAGTCCAGCTCCCAGGCTTCTGCAACGAGCACCTTCCCTCAGGAGCCATCCCCAGCCATACGGCCTTTGGTGGATCGCTCCATTTCCCTCTCCCCAACATAAGTCTGGCAGTCCTGTCAGACCTACTTATGGCTTGGAACAGGGATGAAGAGGTATTTAGCACCCATGGTTGTTTCCCTGGGGCAAGTCCTGCCTGGGGTTCTCCATGTAACTGACTGGAACAGATTCCTATATGCTTGTAATAGGAGGTGAATTGCACAGCAGGCATTTTAAATGATCACTAAGCATCAAGCCAGGGCTGGTCATTCAGTAACAAACTGACATGTGCTAGTCTGGCTACGAGTTGGCCTATATTAAAATGTTCTGTTCTGGGGATGAACCTTGGTGAACATGCTTGTTTAGCATGAGTGAGGCCCTGAGTTTGGTTTCCACAAATGTCAAAATGAAAGGTTTCCTCCTGACACGATGCTTCAGAAATAGTAAATCTGGAATACTGCTTGTGGAGAAGAACTATGGAAGAGAGTAGTGATGACACTGTGATTGTGAGCTGTTTGGAGTGTCCTTCCTCAACAGTGACTGAAACACCGGAGTTTATGGCTTCTCCCTTGGTGGCCTTCTGTCCTCAGTCCTTTGCCTGTGGCTCAAGTTTCTCATCCTTGTCTGAGAGGCTTCATATGTAACTTGTAAAGAAAATGCTTCTAAAAAGTTCTAAACAAAAATGGTATAAAGCAAAACTATTATAAATCCATTTTCCAGGCATAATCAGTTTGTAAGGTATATATTTCACTCTTTGCAGACTTATGTAAACAAAATTCATGTTCATAAGAATGTTTATGTACGCTGTCATCAGCCTAAGTGAGACATCTCAAGCCAGCTAACTCTCGACTTGGGTTCTGGGATAGAGGGTGGGGCTGTGATCTGGTGAGTCCAGAGATGTTTTGTGTCTTTGGGATAATCTGCCTTGCAATAGAGGTATGGAACAGTGCAATTGCTTGATCTCTTCCAGGTAATTAGAGACCACAGGGTTGTCATTTTTATTTGACAGAAACACAGAAATGTGAGTTATCAACATTTGTCTTCCAATGTAAGATAGGCCAACCTATTTGTTAGTTCCTGGAGAGCTTCATTTTAGAAATTGTGCAATGTTGAGCTGCCTCTGCAGCCTGCCCCTGCCAATGTTTTCTCACTCTACCGACTCTGCTGTGAGCATGCCAAAAGAAATCCTTTGTGCATATGATCTGGGCTGCTGGTCTATTTTAACCTACATCATAACCATGTCTATTTATTACACTTTGAAATTGTAAGGGATCAGGGCCTGTGCAGGCTGCTGTAAGTGCTCTCTAGGCAAAGACATGAGCATGGTCTACTAGGGAAACAGGTGGAGGCGAGGGTATTCCCAGGTGGCTAAGAATTGCCTGGTGTTACCAAGTCAAAGCTCTTGCAAGGCATCCATTCTAATCTCTCAGGAGACAAATCCCCATCAAGATGAACCTAGCCTCCAGTTGGAAGTGTTTTCACCT